GATCGTGGAGCCCAAGAAAGTAAAATCTGTCACTGCCTCCATATCTTCCCCTTCTATTTGCCAGGCAGTAATGGGACCAGTGGCCATGATCCTATTTTTTAAAATGTTGAGCTTCAGATCATTTTTTGCGCTCTCCTCTTTCACCCTCATTGAGAGGCTCTTTAATTCCTCCTCACTTTGCCATCAGAGTGGTATCATCTACATATCGGAGGCTGTTGATATTTCTTCCGGCAGTCTTAATTCCAGCTTGGGATTCATCCAGTCCAGCCTTTCACATGATGTTTTCTGCATATAAGTTAAATAAGCAGGGGGACAATATACAGCCTTCTTGTACTCCTTTCTCAATTTTGAACCAATCAGTTGTTCCTTATCCAGTTCTGTTGCTTCCTGTCCCACATACAGTGGTGCCCCGCATAGCGACGATAATCCGTGCAGCCAAAAATGTCGCTCTACGGATTCGTCGCTATGCGAAATAAAAAAGCCCATAGGAATGCATTAAAACCTGTTTAATGCATTTCTATAGGCAAAAACCTCACCTTTATGTGAAAATCCTCCACATGGCCACCATTTTCGCTGCCCGGTAAGCAAGGAATCAGGGCGAAAACATAGTGGACGGCCATTTTTTTTTACCCAGCAGCCATTTTGGAACCGCCGATCAGCTGTTGGGAAATCATCGTTATGCGGAAATCGGTAAGCGAAACAGCTTACCGATCATCACAAAGTGATTTTTTTCCATTAGAAACATCGCAATGCGATTGCAAAAACGATTGCAAAAAATCTGTCGCTATGCGGATTCGTCATTAAACGGGGTGCTTGTTAAGCAAGGCACCACTGTATAGATTTCTCAGGAGATAATTAAGGTGATCAGGCACTCCCATTTCTTTAAGGACTTGTCATAGTTTGCTGTGATCCACACAGTCAAAGGCTTTTGCGTAGTCAATGAAGCAGAGGTAGATGTTTTTCTGGCACTCTCTGGTTTTTTCCATAATCTATTGTATGTTAGCAGTTTGGTCTCTAGTTCCTCTGCCCCTTCGAAATCCAGCTTGTACTTCTGGGAGTCCTCGGTCCACATACTGCTGAAGCCTGCCTTGGAGGATTTTGAACATGAGTCTTCAGTTTCATCCTCTTCAGCATCAGTGGTTGGTGCATAAACTTGGATTACTGTGATATTGAAAGGTCTGTCTTGGATTCGTATTGAAATCATCCTGTCGTTTTTGAGATTGTATCTCAACACAGCTTTTCCCACTCTTTTGTTGACTGTGAGGGCTACTCCATTTCTTCTATGGGATTCTTGTCCACAATAGTAGATACAATAATCGTCTGAATTGAATTCGTTCATTCACGTCTATTTTAGTTCACTGACGCCCAGGATATCGATGTTTATTCTTGCCATCTCCTGTTTGATCACATCCAGCTTACCAAAGTTCATATATCTTACATTTCCAGTTCCTATGCAGTATTTTTCTTTGCAGCATCAAACTTTACTTTCACTTCCAGGCACATCCACAGCTGAGCGTCCTTTCGGCTTTGATCCAACCACTTCATTATCTCTGGAGCTTTTCTCCGCTCTTCCTCACTAGCATGTTGGACACTTTCCGACCTGAGGGGCTCATCTTCCAGTGTCATATGTTTTAGCCTTTTGTTTCTGTTCATGGAATTTTCTTGGCAAAGATACTGGAGTGGCTTGCCAGTTCCTGCTCCAGGTGGACCGGGTTTAGTCAGAACTCTCCACTATGACCTGTCCGTCTTGGGTGTCCCTGCACGGCATAGCCCATAGCTTCTCTGAACTACTCAAGCCCCTTCGCCACGACAAGGCAGTGATCCATGAATGGGGGCTACTTGATAGGGAGTTCTTAAAGATGGGACAGCCATTTTTATTATTATTATTTTAATATGGTTTGATAATACTAAGTTACCCTGAGCCCTCTTAAAGAGAGAAGCAGGTTATAAATATATTAAATAAATAAGAGGGTAATAGGGACAATTGACTAAGAGAGTATTTAATAACTGAAACAAGACAGAATAAGGGAACAGACTGAAGTATAATGACTGAAGTCATTATTTTGCAATTTCTGCTTGTCTTGAGATTATCATAGAATAGTGAATTTAGAAGTGGTCTGTAAGGCTATCAAGTCCAATCTCCTGCTCGATGCAGGAATACAAATAAAAGGATATCTGCCAGGTGGTTGTCTAAGTTTCTCTTGAATGCCTCCAGGGTTGGAGCATGCACCACCTCTCGAGATAATTGGCTCCACTGTCTTATTGCTCTAACAGTTAGGAAGTTTTTTCTGATAGTCAGTCAAAATCTGGCTTCCTGTAACTTGAGCCCATTGTTGTGTGTCCTGCACTCTGGGATGATTGAAAACAGATCCTGCCCTTCCTCTGTCTGACAGCCTTTCAAGTATTATATAAGTAGTTTGATTGTCGCAGACATTGTTCTCAAATACATTGAAGTATTCTTAGTAACTTAATAACATTTAGTCACGTGAACAATAGCAGGACTAGCTGTCTTCCAATGTTCTCTTGTTCTACTAGCTACTAAGTAGACATAACAAATGCTGGCATTTATTGTGTGTCCACATCTGGAATTCACTCATTTTGTTCACATTGATTCTTATTTTACAGTGGATCAGCATGTGAAGTCCTTAGCTTCTGTTCTCCCATATTATAAAAGTGGCGATGGAAAAAGAGGAGGGAGCAAAAACTGTTACGGATCCAATGGCAGAACCATCTATGTTGCGGTTTGTTCTTAGTTTCCTTATTTGTTAATTTTTTTAAGTGCATAGAGGTGTGAGTGACTCCATGTATGAGAGCACATCTCAAGCCTCTGTTTGCATCTGAAATCTAGGTTTCTGTTTTTACCCAGGCACGAGCACATTACAAAGCATTAACATGCTTGTTCTTGTTTTGTTTCAAATTCTCTTTGCTTTCAAGGTTCCCATTGGTACTGTGGTTACAGAGGATGGTGAAGTTGTGGCTGAGCTCTACCAGCATGGTGAAGAGTATGTTGCAGCATATGGCGGAGCTGGTGGAAAAGGCAATCGTTTCTTTCTATCCAATGAAAATCGAGCACCAACATTAGCTACTGAGGGAGAGCCAGGACAAAGAAAAATTCTCCATTTGGAGCTCAAGACTATGGCCCATGCAGGGATGGTATGTATTTTTTTTTGCTAAGAATTGGTGAAGGAAAAAACTGAGTTTTAAATTAGGAAAAACCTACATAATCTGGGGCATGGAAGGGATGTTTGTGTGAAAGAAAATATTTATAATTTGAAATGGTGGCTGAAATCCTGTTACTTTGTGTGGTAAGTTGCAACTAGAGTAGGCCCATTGAATCTGGGCATTTGATGAGTCACCTCTAAATTCTATTGATTCAGATGTCCTACTCTTACTGCAACCTACTATGCTAAATAGCAAGATTTCAACCATTATGTACTTGTTGTTATTAAGCAAGTATGCTGCCTATATATTGCCCCATGGTACTTAAAGCACTCTTTGCATGGTTTACAATTCAATTATGCAGGGTACACATTCCCCCCCCCAGCAAGCTGTATGCTCAGTTTACCAATCTTGGAAGGCTGAGTCAACCTCAGGGATTAAACCCAGGTTGTGAGCAGAGTTTTGGCTGCAGTACTGCAGTTTAACCACTGCGATGAGGCAGTTTGTTTAGCTTCTTGAGTCTTACTTGAACATATTGGGGTGCAGGGTTATGATCGTGATAGCAATAGCTTGGAAATTTAGATTTGCTTTGCCTAACACTGCAGTCCTTGAATATAGCATAGTAACATAAGGCACCACTTCTCTACATATTATTAGACATATGCAGATTGGTAGCTTTTAATTACAGCTCCCAGAATTCTTCGGCAGGATAGTCTAAAAGTTGTGAAAGTTATAGTCCAGACATACAAACTTGCACACCTCTACGTGAACCCACTGTAAAATACAGAATTAAATATGGATATAAAAACATGTGCTTCTTCACAAACCCCATCTATGTAAAATTGTCTGTTAAAGTGTCATGTTAAGGCTTATTGAGAACCGCTAAATAATTTTGACAGATACATCTTCTTTGCTAGATAATCTAATTTGGCCTCTTTATTCCAGGTAGGGTTCCCTAATGCTGGGAAGTCGTCACTGTTGCGAGCTATCTCTAATGCAAAACCAGCTGTGGCTTCCTATCCATTCACAACTTTAATTCCTCATATCGGCATTGTTCACTATGAAGACTACGAGCAAGTGGCAGGTGCGGTGTTACCGGCATTAATTACATTAATGACATTAATCCTGCTGCCAAATAGTTTTGATTCATCTATATAGTATGGTCTCTTGAAAGAGTAAAACAAAAACAAAAATACCCTGGTAACCTGAGTACTGTTTCTAAACAATTAAAAGCTGTGCTGTCTTTCTTGTCACCTTGCAGCAGCTGGATATTCCTGGACTTAACAGAACATAAAACATAAAAAGAGAATATCCTTTTGCTTGAACTCAGACTGAAGTAAAACACTTTCTATGGTAAAAATATTTTGGCGAGTCCTTTGCTATGAGCCAGCTGCAAAATACCAGGGGCACATCATCCTGGAGCCAGTCCAGCCCAAGGAAGGCATCTTTCATAGCAACTGTTGTCTAAATTACCTCCCAGGAGAATTTCAGTTTGAACAGGTTCTTGCTGGTCATTGCATAGTCAATACCAAGCTGCTTCATGGTTTATTCTAGCTTATGTACTTTGTATGGTGATTTATGGTATAGTGATGGTATGTATTTGACTTATTATTATATTATGGTCCTAAAAATAACACAAAAAGTTATGATAGATTAGACCGAAATCATATCTAGGCCAGCGTTCTGTTCACATAGTGGCCACCTAGGGAAGGCCATCGTCAAGATGTGAATGCAACTATGCCTTCCATCTGATGTACAGATTCACATTGCCTCTAATACTGAATGTCATACATTCTGTCTAATAGCCACTGTCGTCTCAAACCATCAGAAATTTATTTGAGCTTCTACAGAGCAGTCCAAATTGGCAACCGTCACTACATCCTATGGCAGTGAATTCTGCTGTTTAAGTATGTTCAGTGATGACGATATTTTGATCTGTTGTACAATGTCTAAAGGAGTAGTTTTATAAAGTATTTAATACATACAGGCCAGAATGTCACTGATGTTCATGTAAGGTTTGCATAATTTGCCATGCCTAATTGTGGCTGATTGATGAGATGCCAGAGAGCACCAAAGTGTCCTTCATTCATGGAACTGCTCAGTGAATTCACACAGAAGGACACATCTGTAATACTGTCGTATAAAATATTTCTTGTTAGCTTATAAACACTATATTCAGAGTTTTAGCAATGAATGGAAAAGGAATGGTATCGCTCTCTTTCATAGCTGACAAGCTTAGGCTAGTCGCCCAACTCTGCCCCTACCAAGATGAGGACTCCCTCAGGACTTTGGTGCAGACCCTGGTGATCTCCTAGGATTGACTACTGCAATGCACTCTACGTGGGGCTCCCCTTGGACCTGGTCTGGAAACTTCAACGGGTCTAGAATGCAGCAGCCAGACTGGTGGTTGTTGCAAGTAAATTTGACCACATCACTCCGGTTCTGACCCGCCTCCACTGGTTGCCCGTGGCGTCCTGCATCAGGTTCAAGGTTTTGACACTCACATACAAAGCTCTCCACAGTCTGGGTCCATATTACTTGTAGGAGCGTCTTTCCTTAATGTCATTTTCCAGACACGTAAGATCATCATGATGTTTTATTATATTTTATGATTTTTTTGATATTTGTAAGCCACTCCGAGGAGACGCTGTCTGGGGGGGGGGGGGGGACCCTACTGTAATAGCACAAAGCCTTTTTTTCCAAAAAGGAAAGAAACTGAATATGATCCATTCAAAAACCTCTGTGTTTATGTCCTGCTACCTTGCCCTTTCAGCTTCCATATAATTGATATTCCCTCATTCACTGCATTCATTTAAGAAGCAATTAAAGACATTGCTTTTCAGGGAAGTTTTCCACACCGACCCCAGCTGACCACCCCCTGCCTTTCCCCCCCTCTTTCCCCTCCACTTCTTCCTTCCCCTCTTTTCCTCCATCTGTTCTGGGGATTAGTCAGTGCCCCTGGGTTTTTTTTTATTAGCTTGCATATGCGCTGTATCCATGGATCTTACAATGCAACTTACCTAGCCAAAATATGTTTAGGATATAGTGAAAACTATAGTACCTTTTTATTAAAACTCTTGAGTGAGTCATCCAGTTGCAGGCACTGCAACTTTTAAACATATGATCTGGTAACATCCAGTCATATGTTTTGTAGGGGAAGGGTGGTTATTGATTAATTTCATATTGGATCTTTCTCTGATTTTTGCTGATGCCTATGGATTTTTCTTTCTTGTTCTCAGTTTATGTATATCATCAGGCCCATTTGCCAACATAGGCTTTTAAATTATTTGCCTGTTTCCTTGAAGTTAATCACTGGTCCTTGAAAATGAATGCACTGTCTCCTTTGCTGTTACCTTTGATATGTGCCATTCAGTTTTTCTGACTTAGGTGACCCTATGAATTAGTGACTTCCAAAAAGTTCTATTTATCAGTCACCCTATTCAGCTCTTGTAAATTCAAGGTGGTGGCTTCCTTTATTGGAAGCCACCAATCCATATCTTATTTGGCCTTCCTCTTCTCCTGTTGTCTTCAGTCCCCCCCCCCAGCATTATTGTTTTTTCCAATGAGTCTTACTTGCTCATAAAGTCCTCAAAGTATGATAATCTAAGTTTTGCTTCCAAAGGCAGTTCAGGCTTAATTTACAACTCACTTTACTTGCCTTTTTGGCAGTTCATAGTATCTGTATGGACTGGTGGCGCTGTGGGCTAAACCGCAGAAGCCTGTGCTGCAAGGTCAAAAGACCAAGCAGTTGTAAGATCGAATCCACGTGACGGAGTGAGCGCCCGTCGCTTGTCCCAGCTCCCGCCAACCTAGCAGTTCGAAAGCATGCAAATGCGAGTAGATTAATATGGACCACCTCGTGTCTAAGTCGCACTGGCCATGTGACCACGGAAGATTGTCTTCGGACAAAACGCTGGCTCTATGGCTTGGAAACAGGGATGAGCACCGCCCCCTAGAGTGGAACACGACTGGACAAAAATTGTCAAGGGGAACCTTAGTATCTGTAAAGATCTCCTCTTACTGTGGCTAAAAGACTCATATTGATCTGGCAAGATACATTCTGGATTGAGGGCTTTACAGCTTATACCACTGTATGGCATTTGGAAGACAATTTTGTATACATAAAAAACATTTTATTTTTTTATTAACCTCCCCCCCGAAGAAAACCTCCCAAAAAAGCTGAAGATATGCAGTAAATATAGAAATATAATGATAATAATAAAAACCTATACATAATTTCAATAAAAGGCTTCAAAATATTTATTTAGATATTTTGAAGCCTTTAATCGAAGTTTTATCATGGCCTCTCCCAATTTCAAGAGACCCTTGTCCAGCAGGCCGAGGCAAAGAGGCAGTCCCGAAAGCAGCAAAATCAGGGAGCTGGACAGGGGACAGACTGTATTTGTCTTCAGTGTGGACGGGACTGTCACTCTCGAATAGGCTTTCTCAGCCACACTAGATGCTGTTCCAAGACCTCTGTTCAGCGCACATTACCATAGTCTCTCAAGACTGAAGGATGCCTAAAATTTCTATATTAGTTGCATATCTTCAGCTCTTTTGGGAGGTTTTCTTTTGTGGGTGTTAGTAAAAAATAAAATGTTTTAAGAAGAGTGAGTATAAAAGATAAGTAAAGGCAGTATTTGTTGACCTCTGCATGTAGGATTTCTCCCTGTTCCTGTTTGCTGACTGCTTTTTCTACTGGAAAGGTGCTGCTTATGGAGTATGCTTGCTTTTGAGATAGTCAGTGTTATATGGCTTTGCTAAAAAAAAAAAAAACAAATCCTTACTGGTTGTGGTTTTGTATTTTTGCCTTCTTTTGTAGTTGCGGATATCCCTGGAATAATAAAAGGAGCCCATCGAAACAGAGGGCTTGGTTTTGGCTTCCTAAGGCACATAGAACACTGCAGCTTTCTTCTATATGTCTTGGATCTTTCAGTGTTGGAGCCATGGACTCAGTTGCAGAACTTGAAATATGAACTGGAACAGTACGAAGAAGGTCTGTCAAAGAGACCTCATGCCATCATTGGAAATAAGTTTGATCTACCACAATCTAAGAGCAATTTACCTCTCCTTAGGGACCAGGTGGAAGAGAGAGTCATCCCATTGTCTGCTCTGACTGGAGAAAACCTGGAGGAATTGTTACTGCATCTGAAAGAATTGTATGATGATTATGTAAAAACAGAAGCACAGAATCATAAGCCTATGAAGTGGTAGTAGCTGGAAACAGAGCTCCTTTTTAGCCAAATTACAATAAAGAGTGGTTGTGGGAGGAAATAGGCGTTTTCTGAATGTATGATTGTCTTGAACTGTTGATCATAAGATTTTCAAATAAAGGAATAAATACATTTCTTCCTCCCCAAACTGAAAAACCACATACCAGTGACTCTTTCCTCCTTTCTAACTGGTCAGTAAACATAGAAGGATACTAAGGTAGCTCTTAAATTGATTTCTTTGGATGTAGTGGAGGCCAAAGATGTGGAACCTTAGAGCAGGGCAGTTTCTCCCTCCTAATGCATTTTGTTAATTTGTCCAGACCAGAATTTGGGGGGAAAAGGTTTGGTTTGGGATTTTTTGGGCCTGGTTAAAAGTCCTCTTATACTTGTTGGGGGAATCCTGGGAGTTGTAATAAATAATAATTGTTTATCCATAATTTGCAAATTTCTTCATTATGAATACCAGAAATTTCTTACACTGTCATTACTATTGGAACAACATACTGTCTAGGAATAAACTACTAATTTTTTTCACCTCCTTTTGACATAATGAAAACCCCACAACGTTTTGAAGCTGTGGTCTAGACTATTCTTGGGAGCCCCATGCGATGCTAGAAGCTTGCTTTATTGTTATGGCTTTAATGAGAAAAAAAAAAGAACGCTGGTTGCTGTACTGTTAGTAGGGCAGGAATGTGTGTTGTTTGCTAAAGGAGGCTGTAAGACAAGTGATAAATTAACCAAAACACATGACCCAGTATGCAGTAGAGAATTAAGTTATTTCAGTAGGCTTAATCACGCTTAATTCTGTATTGGATTGTGGCCACTCTCCAGCGCAAGGTCTTAAAGTACAAAGGCAGCCAGTTTTTTGTTAAAGGATTGAAGGGAGAGGGAGAGGACATGGAAAGTCACAGATTTGTTTTAACGTATCTTTCAGAAAAGCTGTAATCCTTTCAGCTGTGGTCCTTGGTTACCCAGTGGAAGAATACAAAATGTGGTGCTGGCAAGGAAGGAATAAAAATATGTATTTTTCTAGCCACTGAAGTGCTTTTTCAGCAACTGCTCTTTTATTTAGCAAACAAAATCATCTTTTGTTTGCTCAACTGCATTTCTTAATGTGGGGAGGGGTGACAGACTGATGAATCTTTGTTAATGTTCATAGCTAATATTGGCCAGCACAGTTGCCAAAGAATCCATCAGATTGCACAAAGACAAGAAGTGTCATTTCCTTGCCTCCTGTGTCAGGTGTTTGCACAACGCTTGCATTTTCTGTTGTCAGGAACTTCCTGTCAGCCAGTTTCTGATTTCTAGCTGTGTTGAAAAGTGATTGGTAGAGATAAACTATCCGAATGTCAACTCAAACTATGGTACCTTTGCTTCCTGCAAGAGATGAAGAGAATGTGACCTATCTGAGGGGAAACACACACACACAAATGCCTATGAGCTGTTAATTCCTTCTCCAGTAAGGAAGTATCTTTGTTCTCACCCTGATGTGCTAGTTTACAACGTGTGAGAAGAAGTATTCAAGCAGCCCTTAAGGAAACTTTATCTCCCATGGTTACCATTTATAATTTGTCCCAATGCCCATCACAACCTGTGTGTGATTTTCATAAACCTGCCCAACTCCATGTTCCCAATATCTACCCAGGATTATCTGTGACTACTTGTTTGAAATGACATGTTAGAAGCCATGTTCGCTACAATAATATATTTAATCTATTGGTCCCATTCAGATGATAGAGTAAGCTACAGAAACTTGGGAATCCTGGTTTGTTGTATATGAGTATGTGATAACAGGAATGGCTAAATAAACCATGGAACTTTGGTTTCTGATACGTTTGTCACATCATCCAGCCATGGGCACCTTGTGTTCTCTTATGTGCTTCTCTCCCAGAAAATCAGACAAAAATGCCCTAGGTTCTTTTTCTCACGTGCACTCCCAAATTGTTGTGTGAATTGGGACAAGCTCTTAATGGCAAATTATTCCTTGTGAAAGAAACAAGGCACACAAGAAGATGTCCATTCATGGGCAACAGGATAAATCACAGAGCAAAATTCTGTGGCTTATTTCATCACTCCTGCTGCAGATTGGAACAATGAAACAGAGTGGACCAGCACACTAATCATAACCAATAAACTAGATTTGAGTTAGAATCCAAAGCTAGGATCTGTGGTTTGTCTCATCCAGACTTGCCCACTTCGTTTAATCTTGAATCAAGGCAGGTAGCAATGTTCTTGATCTATAAACATTATTTTGGCAGCAGTCCTAATTCTTTTGAAGGTTGCTGCAGGAGACAACGATAATACAGTGCCACAAGGGAACCAATGTGTAGACTAGAAAATATTTGTTTCTTGGAAATAGCTGGAAATGTTCCTGCTTGTGTCACATATAAGCAGTCTGAGTGTCTTTGAGAGGCCAGCTTATTCTTTGCTGTCTGCTTGAACAGCTCCTTAAGAGAATAAGAAGAAATACTGTTGCTGACGTTATCTACTTTCTTAGGTCAAAACATGCAGTTTTGAGTTTGCAGCAGGGGGTATTGGAAGAGATGGAGAGTGCTGATGATGTTTTCATTTGTGTTATTCTTCTGTTGAAACACAACAGTTAAGGTAAAAAAGAGGAAGGGAGGGTTGGTGGGACTAAAATCAGGTCTTACTTTGACCAAGTTACAAGAATGTTGGTGTTTATGAGTGGGTGTGATGGCAGCTCTCTACCTTGTAAGGTTGACGCTTGTTCTAAGTGCCTTGTCTTGTGGATTTTTAAAACTCCTTGGAGACCCTGAGTAGAGTTTGGGAATATTATGGCCTCTGTCAGGTTCAATATTCTCCTTTCTAGCTAGCTCTTCCTGGGCTTTGCTGGATGATTCTGTGCAGACACAATCATGAAAGAAAATAATGACTTCTCAACAACTGCCACAGAGCAGGCCTTCCAATGTTCAGTCGGATTCACTCTGAGGTTTCCGCCACTGTCACTGTAGTCTCTGTTCTGCTCATTTCATCACCACCAGCAACCCAGTAAGCCACAGGACTAGTTTGACTCTGCTTCATGGGAGGGGACACTGAGGAGGAATCATATCAATGCCCCTGACTATTTCCTAATTCCAGACATCAACCAGGGCTTTAACAGAATCACTTGTCAAAGTGACAGGAAACTCCCCAAGAACTGGAGGAAGCCATTTGGATCCATCCACCTCCTGGGGTGGACAATCTTAATTGGTCACTGACCTCTGCAGAGGCTCTGAGTCCCTGTGAATCTGAATCACATGACAACAGAACTACAAAGAGTTTCTCCATACCCAAACCACCAACATATACCCCGGCACAGAAAATCAGATATAAAGTGTGCCCTACAGCATGGATGGAGCTATATGCTATTTGGGACAGACTCATTATTGTCATGGAGGACATGAAGTCCTTCAGCACAACACACCTAAGGGACTCCAGCATCACTCCTGAGACCAGAAAACGGGGGTCTGACACCTGGTGAGGGGGATGAAATCACAATAGACTACTGCAAGTCCACCTCCCCGCCTCCCAAGTCTTACCTGCTGCTGCACTGAAAACCTTGGTGGACAAAGCTTAGTGAGATTAACACACACCCCAGCCTCATCCAACCAAGTCCCTGTAGTGCAAGCCAGTTTGGTATGTTTATGCAGGATCATGTCCTGATGAGATTATGTCAGACATATAATCGGAGGGCAAGTCCACCTCCCCGCCTCCCAAGTCTCACCTGCTGCTGCACAGAAAACCTTGGTGGACAAAGCTTAGTGAGATTAACACACACCCCAGCCTCATCCAACCAAGTCCCTGTAGTGCAAGCCAGTTTGGTATGTTTATGCAGGATCATGTCCTGATGAGATTATGTCAGACATATAATCGGAGGCTATGCACACCCATTGAATTGTGTTCCGAGTTATCTGAATGTCAAAGAGTTTGTTTGGGGAACCCTACTCATACCTCGACCACCCAATACCAGAATGTTGCACCTACTTCCTTGGCATCTCAGCCTGGAGCTAGCCGAAGAAACCAAGGACAACAAGAAGATCAAAGAGGAACAGCAGCTAAAGCTTCTACATTCGGAGGCTATGCACACCCATTGAATTGTGTTCCGAGTTATCTGAATGTCAAAGAGTTTGTTTGGGGAACCCTACTCATACCTCGACCACCCAATACCAGAATGTTGCACCTACTTCCTTGGCATCTCAGCCTGGAGCTAGCCGAAGAAACCAAGGACAACAAGAAGATCAAAGAGGAACAGCAGCTAAAGGTTCTACATCAGAGAGATATCTACCAACTTCTCCCCTGACTTTTGATCACCCGGCTGGCTCATTATTATTTTGTTTTCTCAGTAGTTCATCTTTTAGTGCATCGACATCTGGTTCTACATCTTCCAATAATGGGATGTGCCATCCTTCTGTCTTCTCAGGACTTGCTAGTGCACACGATAGAGCTCCATCAGAACTTGGGGTGGTGGTGGAGGGTTGTTTTCCAGGAGAGCTGGCCACAGACATTGCCTACCCACTGGAACTGTCCATGGTATTTAGGAAAACATCTTATTATGACTGTCACTTTAAGAAGCTTCAGTCCTTGCCACCAGTTCATACATAAGTTTGCCGATGAAATAGCCTTATATTTATTAAACAATCATGGTCAGAATCGCCAAGGTCAGCACGTGTATACCATCTCCAGCTAGTATAATCATTTCCTGGCTGAACAGCTAAAACAAAGCCTTGAGTTTCGACTAGCCCATATTTTCTACTCTAGCCCATTCTGTTGCTAAAGGAATAGCTGCTTTGTCTGAAATCTGTTGCCATGGTTCAATCAGTTGCAGATCTTCTGTCCCACTGTGGGCATTAACATGCAACTCCTCCTGCGACTTCAAGTGTGATGCTGAGGCATGTGCAGAGTTGCTGCCTCTAGCAAGGTATTTGGTTTGCTATACCTGTAGCAGGAAGAGGAGCCACAGAAACAGTCAGGAGTCCGAGCGTTCAAGCTCCTAGCTTTTCTTCTTCTTTTCCCTTTTCAAGAATGGTTCAGTACATTCATTTTCAAATATGTAATAGGCATTCTTGGGGAGAAATAGTTACTCTATGAGAGCTGCTCTACTCTATGCAGAGAACGTCTGTGACTTCAAAAAAAATGAAGTTCCTTAAAATGCTTTTTAAATTTACTACATATTGAAACACACCATTCCACACCCATACTGCTGCACAAAACTTTGAGAAAGAAAGCAAATGTTGCTGTTCTTCATGACCTCTGCAATATTTATTTGTCAAATAACAGACCTCTAGTCTGAAAGAAGGGGAATGTTCAGATGGATCACTCAGACCTTCTTAGCAGCCAGCAGAGCCAGAGTTATGCCCAACGCATCAGAAGCCATTCACAGTTAGGTATACTAACTATTCCAATCATTCCTGACCTTTAATATAGATCTGACGAAGCA